AATGAATGTGGGTGGGAAGGAGGGGGAAGAAAGGAAAAGAGAGAGAGAGAGAGAGAGAGAGAGAGAGAGAGAGAGAGAGAGAGAGAGAGAGAGAGAGAGAGAGAGAGAGAGAGAGGAAGAGAGAGTGTTACTAGTATGTGAAAGGGTGCAACGGAATAACAGGCACAAGAAAATGACGGCAGCTGATAGAAAGGGACGAGTGTTGGAATGCTATTGTCAGCTTATTGAAAGGTTGATGGAAACGGGGAGGGAGAGGGGAAGAGGCGAGACGTAGGGAAGGGTTGGGAAATGAGAGATGGTGCGATGCAAAAGCAAAAAGATGAAGAAACGTTATAAACGAAGGAGTCTAGATAAGAGCGGAGGAGAGGAGATGGGAGATGGATAGTGGCAGTAGGAAATGGTGATGGGTTGTGTGTTCAAGTAATATTGACTATGGTGCTTTGAATCCATGAATGTCGTCTGCGTGCTCTTGTTGGAGGTAGGAAGACAAGACAGGAGGGAGAGGGGAGAGGTAGGGAGGGTTAGAGAGAGAGAGAGAGAGAGAGAGAGAGAGAGAGAGAGAGAGAGAGAGAGAGAGAGAGAGAGAGAGAGAGAGAGAGAGAGAGAGAGAGAGAGAGAGACTGACTCACTAAGGATTACAGTGAACGAATCGATGCAGATAGTATGGTTGGTAATTGAGAGGGAGGGGAGGGCGGGATGAAGGTGATGAAGTGAGAAAGAAAAAGCGGGAGGGGTCAGCGTGTATACTGCATCAGGCGGGGGGACCAACTGGATAACAAGAACCTTCGGATGGAATAATGTTGCACTCTAACAGCCCCATTCAAAGATACAAAAATTGCTGAATTTTAGAACTTGCAGAGATATTTAATCAAACAAATGGGACTACATTACCAATCTATATTTTCTAGGGCGCAGACGAGATACATAATAATTTATTTATATATTATACACTTGGAAAATATTGAAGGGAGTTAGAAGCGTTCTAAATCTCCACACGGAAATAATTCTTTACGAGACTTGGATGTTTGAAAGAAGTGCAAAACAGCCACGTAAAAAAAACAGGTGCGATAGGTACGCTGAGACAATTCTATCAACATTCTCCCTCCAAACATAAGGGGGATAACAGGCCGACCTTTCATGGTGTTCAAAAGAGAACTTGATAGGTACCTCCAAATGATACCTCATCAATCGGGCTGTGATTTGAACGTCAGACTGCAAACAGCAGTATCAAACAGCCTAGTCAAGGAATAGGCCCTTGAGGACATTGATTCCTTGAACCATCACAAGGAAGGTAGGAAGAGATAGAAAGGGAACGATAAGTAGTCGACGGAAGATGTCAGAGGAAATAATGGGGAAGATATATGACGTTGACAGTGAGGAATGAACATGTGGTGTTGACAGTGAGGAGTTGACACGTGATATAATACGATAGAGCACCTTAACTATTAGGATCGTCTCAAAGCTCTCCAAATGTACTCTTTAGAACAAATACGAGAGGCATCAAATAATAAATAATACATGGAAAAAATTGGAAAGCCAGGTCCCAAATTTACAGTCAAATAACAACACACTGGAGTGAACGATATGGAAGGAAATGCAGAACAGAGCTAGTGAAAAACATAGGTGCCCTAGGCACAGAGAAACACTGCACGGACATCAGAACATCAGACCACGGTTGTTCAACATCCTCCCAGAGAGCATAAGAAATATTGCCTGAACAAAGGTGGACGTCTTTAAAAGAAAACTAGTTTTCTTTTAAGAAGTGCTGGACCAACCGGGCTGTAGGGATTATGTGGACCACTCCAAACAACAGCCTGTTGGACCAAGCTCTCACAAGTCAAGCCTGGCCCAAGGCCGGCCTTGGGAAGTAGAACTCTCAGAACCCCATCAAGGTAAGGTATGTGGTGCCAACGGTGTGGAGTTGACATGTACTCACCTCGTTGTGCTTGCGGGGGTTGAGCTTCGGCTCTTTGGTTCCGCCTCTCAACTGTCAATCGACTGGTGAACAGATTCCTGAGCTTATTGGGCTTTTTCATTTCTATATTTGAAACTGTGTATGGAGTCAGCCTCCACCACATCACTGCCTAATGCATTCCATTTATTAAAGTACCCTGACACTGAAACAATTATTTCTAATCTCTCTCTCTCTCTCTCGGAGGCTCATTTGGGTACTCAGTTTCCACCTGTGTCCCCTGGTTTGTGTTCCACCCATGCTAAATACTTGTCTTGTACACCATGACAATGTCTGAGAATTTTGTAGGTGGTGATCATGTCTCCCCTTACTCTTTGTCTTCCAGGGATGAGATTTAGCTCCTGTAGTCTTTCCTCGTAATTCATACTCATGTGGTGTTGACAGTGCGAAAGTTTTATCAGATGTATGTGAAGGAGAGTTGCGAGAGACTTGATGAGACAGGAAGAAGACGAGAGAGATATCAAATAATATACACCTGGAAGATACTGGAGGTCCAAGTACCAAATCTACACAGTAAAATAACAACGTACTGGAGTGAACGATATGGAAGAAAATGCAGAATAGAACCAGTGAAGAGCAGAGGTGCCATAGGCACAATCAGAGAACACTGTATAAACATCAGAGGTCCGCGGTTGTTCAACGTCCTCCCAGCAAGCATAAGAAATATTGTCGGAACAACCGTGGACATCTTCAAGAGGAAACTAGATTTATTCCTCCAAGGAGTGCCGGACCAACCGGGCTGTGGTGGGTATGTGGGCCTGCGGGCCGCTCCAAGCAAGAGCCTGGTGGACCTGGTTACCTGGTTGATACCTGGTTGATGGGGTTCTGGGAGTTCTTCTACTCCCCAAGGACCAAACTCTCACAAGTCAAGCCTGGCCTCGGGCCGGGCTTGGGGAGTAGAACTCCCAGAACCCCATCAACCAGGTATCAACCAGGCATATGCAGGAAAGGTGGAAGGGGGAGGAGGAGGATCGGTGAGGTGGGGTGGAAGGGGGAGAAGGAGGAGGATCGGTGAGGTGGGGTGGACGGTGCTGTATGGGGGGAGTGGTGGCAGGAGTAGGTGACCAGGGAAGGATGAGGGGGAGAACTGGTTGGGTCGGGATGAGAGGGGTGGAGGGTAGGAAAGGGGGGGGGAAGGGGGAGAAGGGATGGTGTCGGTAGGAGGAGGGGGGGGGGGTTAGGTTATTACAGTAGGGGAGAGGCAGGGAGCTAGTGGGTTTGGTAGTCATCTGGTTGTGCTTGATGTGAGGTAAGAAGTGACGGGGGGGGGGGAGTGTTTATAGGAATGGGGTAGAGCAGATTTGTAATGAAGGATTGAGAAATGGGAATCATGAAAAAGGAAGATTGGGGAGGAAGAGTAATGGTGGTCAGAAGAAGGGGAGGTGTAGAAGGCAGCAAGTAGGATGAGAGAGAGAGAGAGAGAGAGAGAGAGAGAGAGAGAGAGAGAGAGAGAGAGAGAGAGAGAGAGAGAGAGAGAGAGAGAGAGAGAGAGAGAGAGAGAGAGAGAGAGAGAGAGAGAGAGAGAGAGAGAGAGAGCGAGCTCACACGTATTTCAAAATAATGAAAATAAATGTAATAAAAATGCTAGGGGGTGCAAATGGTAATGTTAGCTGCGAGTAGAGACTAAAGGTAAGAAAGGTAAAGAGGAAGGGTGAGGGGGCTGGTCCAGGAAGGAGGGTCAGGGGGTTCTTTTGTGGCGGTCAGGGAGGGAGGGAATGGAAGAAGGCAGGGGAAGGGGAGGAAGTGGATGAGAGCCCATGAGGGTCGGACGGAGGGATGGCAGGGAAGGGGAGGGGGGGGGGGGTGGATGAGGGCCGGGTAACGGAGGGGAGATGGGGGTGAGGGAGGGAAGAGCAGCAGCTCCACGGAACAGTGCCTCATTCAACTGTTTATTCACTTGCACTCAAAGCCTGAGAAGTTGCAGCAGCCTCACACAGTGTCACACAAGTGTTGCAGCAGCCTCACACAGTGTCACACAGTGTTGCAGCAGCCTCACACAGTGTCACACAGTGTTGCAGCAGCTTCACACAGTGTTGCAGCAGCCTCACACAGTGTCACACAGTGTTGCAGGAGCCTCACAGTGTCACAGTGTTGCAGCAGCCTCTCAGTGTCACACAGTGTTGCAGCAGCCTCACAGTGTCACACAGTGTTGCAGCAGCCTCACAGTGTCACACAGTGTTGCAGCAGCCTCACACAGTGTTGCAGCAGCCTCACACAGTGTTCCAGCAGCTTCACACAGTGTTGCAACAGCCTCACAGTGTTGCAGCAGCCTCACAGTGTCACACAGTGTTGCAGCAGCCTCACACAGTGTTGCAGCAGCTTCACACAGTGTTGCAGCAGCCTCACACAGTGTTGCAGGAGCCTCACACAGTGTTGCAGGAGCCTCACAGTGTTGCAGCAGCCTCACACAGTGTTGCAGCAGCCTCACACAGTGTCACACAGTGTTGCAGCAGCCTCACACAGTGTCACACAGTGTTGCAGCAGCCTCACACAGTGTCACACAGTGTTGCAGCAGCCTCACACAGTGTCACACAGTGTTGCAGCAGCCTCACACAGTGTCACACAGTGTTGCAGCAGCCTCACACAGTGTCACACAGTGTTGCAGCAGCTTCACACAGTGTTGCAACAGCCTCACAGTGTTGCAGCAGCCTCACAGTGTCACACAGTGTTGCAGCAGCCTCACACAGTGTCACACAGTGTTGCAGCAGCCTCACACAGTGTCACACAGTGTTGCAGCAGCCTCACAGTGTCACACAGTGTTGCAGCAGCCTCACACAGTGTCACACAGTGTTGCAGCAACCTCACACAGTGTCACACAGTGTTGCAGCAGCCTCACACAGTGTCACACAGTGTTGCAGCAGCCTCACACAGTGTCACACAGTGTTGCAGCAGCCTCACACAGTGTCACACAGTGTTGCAGCAGCCTCACACAGTGTCACACAGTGTTGCAGCAGCCTCACACAGTGTCACACAGTGTTGCAGCAGCCTCACACAGTGTCACACAGTGTTGCAGCAGCCTCACACAGTGTCACACAGTGTTGCAGCAGCCTCACACAGTGTCACACAGTGTTGCAGCAGCCTCACAGTGTCACACAGTATTGCAGCAGCCTCACAGTTGTCACACAGTGTTGCAGCAGCCTCACAGTGTCACACAGTGTTGCAGCAGCCTCACACAGTGTCACAGTGTTGCAGCAGCCTCACAGTGTCACACCGTGTTGTAGCAGCCTCACAGTGTCACGCAGTGTTGCAGCAGCCTCACAGTGTCACACAGTGTTGCAGCAGCCTCACAATGTCACACAGTGTTGCAGCAGCCTCACAGTGTCACACACGTGTTGCAGCAGCCTCACAGTGTCACACAGTGTTGCAGCAGCCTCACAGTGTCACACAGTGTTGCAGCAGCCTCACAGTGTCACACACGTGTTGCAGCAGCCTCACACAGTGTTGCAGCAGCCTCACAGTGTCACACAGTGTTGCAGCAGCCTCACACAATGTCACAGTACCTGAGAGGCTGCAGGAGCCACAACAGTGTTGCAGCAGCCTCACACAGTATCTGAAAGGCTGCAGCAGCCTCACACAGTATCTGAAAGGCTGCAGCAGCCTCACACAGTATCTGAAAGGCTGCAGCAGCCTCACACAGTATCTGAAAGGCTGCAGCAGCCTCACACAGTATCTGAAAGGCTGCAGCAGCCTCACACAGTATCTGAAAGGCTGCAGCAGCCTCACACAGTATCTGAAAGGCTGCAGCAGCCTCACACAGTATCTGAAAGGCTGCAGCAGCCTCACACAGTATCTGAAAGGCTGCAGCAGCCTCAACACAGTACTGCAGCACCTTCACAGTGCCTGGCAAGCTGCAACATCCCCACAGTGTGTACAACAGGTTGAAGCACCCCCTCAAAGTGTACCCAGCAAGTTGCAACGATTTAACAATGCCTGGCACCCAGTGCCTAACAGGCTACAACACCCTGACAGTGCCACCATTCAGCACTTTGCTAGTCCACAACATAATTTGAGTGCCAAGTAGAATGTAGCACCCTGATAAGTGCCTAGTAGAATTTAGCACCCTGGCAGTGCCTAGTAAAATTTAACACCCTGACAGTGCCTAGTAGAATTTAAGCACCCTGAGTGCCTAGCAGAATTTAGCACCCCTGACAGTGCCTAGTAGAATTTAAACACCTTGACAGTGCCTAGTAGAATTTAGCACCCTGAGTGCCAGCAGAATTTAGCAACCCTGACAGTGCCTAGTAGAATTTAGCACCCTGGCAGTGCCTAGTAGAATTTAAGCACCCCGAGTGCCTAGCAGAATTTAGCACCTTGACAGTGCCTAACAGAATTTAGCACCCTGACAGTGCCTAGCAGAATTTAGCACCCTGACTGACTAGCAGAATTTAGCACCCTGACAGTGCCTAGCAGAATTTAGCACCTTGACAGTGCCTAACAGAATTTAGCACCTTGACAGTGCCTAACAGAATTTAGCACCCTGACTGACTAGCAGAATTTAGCACCCTGACAGTGCCTAGCAGAATTTAGCACCTTGACAGTGCCTAACAGAATTTAGCACCTTGACAGTGCCTAACAGAATTTAGCACCCTGACAGTGCCTAACAGAATTTAGCACCCTGGCAGTGCCTAGTAGAATTTAAGCACCCCGAGTGCCTAGCAGAATTTAGCACCTTGACAGTGCCTAACAGAATTTAGCACCTTGACAGTGCCTAACAGAATTTAGCAACCCTGACAGTGCCTAGTAGAATTTAGCACCCTGGCAGTGCCTAGTAGAATTTAAGCACCCCGAGTGCCTAGCAGAATTTAGCACCTTGACAGTGCCTAACAGAATTTAGCACCCTGACAGTGCCTAGCAGAATTTAGCACCCTGACTGACTAGCAGAATTTAGCACCCTGACAGTGCCTAGCAGAATTTAGCACCTTGACAGTGCCTAACAGAATTTAGCACCTTGACAGTGCCTAACAGAATTTAGCACCCTGACTGACTAGCAGAATTTAGCACCCTGACAGTGCCTAGTAGAATTTAGCATTCAGACAAGTGCATAGTAGAATTTAGCACCCTGGCAGTGCCTAGCAGAATTCAGCAGCCTGAGTGCCTCGCTAAAGTTAGTACCCTGACAGTGCCTAGCAGGATACAGCACACCCAATAAATGCACCCACATCCATCTCGGCTTTCTATAAACATTTCACTATCCACGGGATACGGAATTCACCCACACCATAATGTTATAGTTACTGCCTTTCCTAGCTGTAACCAGACATAATACAAATAATTTTTAAGACGCAGATCATTACTACTTGAGCTATTAATATTAAAACATACTGAATGACTGGCCCGAGACAAAATTTAAATTAAAATTTTGCCAGTATACGAGACAGGCTAAACGCATTAGCAAAGGTTTTAAGCTCCGCCGTCAATACGCAAAATACCTCACACTTTACCATTTATATATATCTAACTGCCGCCCGTAAATGGCTGATAATTAACCCATAAAAATATCTAGTGTGGGCGCGACATGGGTAAAATGGTGTGGGTGTGGCAGCCATTGGTGGTGAGGGCGGCGGCTGCTGCCTCCTGGAGCCTCGTCGCCGCCGCCGCCCTCCACACCTGGTTCGTATCCCCCGCTGTTGGAGGGGGATCTATAAGTACTGTATTCATACAACTGTATTGTATGCCAAAATGAGGGATTTTTTTATGTATATATATATATATAATACCTCGGGTACCCGTATTAACTGTTGAAGGAGACCCAACGGCTGGTCGGCAGCGCCACAATTCACAGCTAACCTTAATTAACCGCCATTCCCCGGCTACGTCTCGAGTTAAAATAATTTGATATCAAATGTTTAAAGTTATTATTTCCGTATATAGTGTTTTCGGGCCTACGACGCAGTAGACCTATGCTGGGGGGGGTGGCTCCCAGACTGGCTTGCGCCCTTCACTACTAAAGTGAGAACTACATTATTTCTCGCTATCTTAACATAACATTCAATACTTCCCATGTTAAAAAGATATATACCTGCTGCCACTGCCACACTGGTGCCTGCACCAACAGTCTGCTGGAGCAGAGCGGCTCGCAAAATATTAGCGTCGTCAAAGGTGAGCGCCGCCGCCACCAAGTGCGCAAGCGCCATCTTTATTGGAACTAAATTTCGCGGACAAAGGAAGTCGCACCAATACCATACATAGGGACCCCCAGGAGCCCCTCACCGGCGTGGCTCGGGTCCACCTCTGACCACATATCGCCATAATAACGCAGCAGCGTCGTCAGGAATGAGGGAGATGGGATAAATGAAACAAATGGAGGAGCAGTGCATCGGAGTGACGGAAGGTTGGCCTGGCCGGCCGCCGCCGCCGCCAACAGCTGAAGGCGGCTTCTCTGCGGGAATGACACTTCCCTCTTGCAAAGACAGCCGCTCTTGGTATTTCCCCGTGCACTCCACGTGTTGCTGTAGGTCTCGAGTCATTTTATTTAACACTGATTTCTGATTGTCGGCCAAAAAACTCACTCATATTGCCACAACACCAAAATGGCGTCGCTCCCTCTCTTCACTCGATACAGCACTGAGGGTGGAAGCTCTGTGACGTCATGGTATTCGTCCGCCACTCTCGAATATCACTTAATTATTTACAAAAATACGATAAATTTATATAATATACATTAGAATTTCGCACAATTTAACCTCAGTTATGTTTTTAATGTTATTTTAATGATAGTTTGGGAGATATTATTGATATATGTCCGGGCACTACATGAAGTGGCGGAGGTTGAGGAGCGCGTCCGGTAGTGGTGGAGAGAACGAGACCATCTTCGTAAACAGTCATTCGGCTGCTATGATCGTGATCAGACGCACGAGCTACCTTACTCCCCACGGTTGGCAGCCACGAACTTAGAACACGCCAATATCACACTTAGGGCCCTAGCTCATAACGTCCTGTGTTGTGTGTGGAGACGTGACATGACTACCATTGAAGTTTTGTTACCATCACCGCGAGTCAACATGCTGGATACTGGAGGAGGCTTGAGCGCTGTGGACAACCTGAATCTCCCGACCCTGTGTGGGCCTCACAGGGGCACCCGCCGCCCGTCGGGGACCGCCGAGAGTGAGAGTGATTCTCCCCCAAGCAAGAAGAGCAAGAAGGCCCGCCGCCGCAGGAAGAGGCCACGTCAACGTTGTGCCATGAATGGGTTTCGTGCGAAACCAGTTGCTCCCTTCAACACCACCCAGTTCCTGATGGCGGAGCACGACCTACTGCAGGACACGGACATTGTTGCTCGCCCTCGACGTCATCGTGACTCCTCGTTCAGTCTCGACTCTGAAGATCAATCCAACGAATTTTACTCGTCCCCAGAAGACGAAGAAGAATTTCTCGCCCGTGAATTCTGGACGGCCTACGAAGACGTTCACGCCGAGCGGCTCGATACCATGACGAAGGCGCAGCTGGTGCAGGAGTACCTTGCCCTGGAGGAGAAGGTAGACTTATTGGAGCGTCAGCTACGCGCTGTCAGAGCCCGTCATCGATATCGTCTCCAGCAGAACGACGATGAAGACGACGACGATGCTGTTGGTCCTGGTGAACTGCGCGTTGATTCTGAGACCGCACAGAAGATCAGCATATTTCAGTCTGAAATTACCAATCTGGAATCTGAAAATCGCCGCCTACGGGAGGAGAACTTCGAACTGCGACGCACATCTCTCACCAGGTCGTCGTCGTCATCGTCCTCGTCCTCCAGTAGCGACTCGAGTAGTAGTAGCAGCAGCAGCAGTGATTCCAGCAGTGATAGCGAGATGGAAGATGATAGCCGCAAGCAACAAGAGGAGCCCATAGAAGCCCCAACTTCCGGAAGAGCATCTCCCGCCGCAGAAGTGTGGAGCAGCACCGCTCAAGAGTCTCGTGTGGACTATATAGAGTCAGTGAACAGTGTGGATGACCAGTGCCAGCCAGATAGTGGCGTGTCGTGTGATAGTCCCGAGGCTGCCGACCCTCCAACCTCATCCTCGATCACCGACACGGAGGAGGTGACGCCGGGCAAGTGTGAGGGCAACGCAGTGGAAAGCGAGGTCACCAGCACGACGGCAGCGTAGCGGCTTGACGCCTCGCCACGACTACTCTCACGCTTTGATCTGTGATCCCTGACTAATTATGGTCCACACGAATGTTAGTGGCATATAAGGAGTCGAGGCACGCCCACCGACGTTCACCTCCCCCCCACGTCACCCCGCCAGCTGTGACGACGACGTTCCTGTTGCTTCACATCGGCCACGAACTGGACAAAAGTCGCCGTTGGTGTTTGGCTGACGTATGAACGTTTGTTAGTACGAGTTCAAAGTGTTCATTTAAGTTAGTGAATAGTATTGATCTCTTATATATAAGCCTGAGACAGTGGTTGGGTGCTCCCGTGAACCTGTCGGCCGACTCGAGCGAGCGCAGTGTGGGAATTTCACCAGATTATATTCGCCAAGGCTCGTGTTTGTGCCGATGACGGATTACTTTCAGAACTTTACAAAAAGTCGATCTCTCAATATTGTTCATGAGTGATTTTTTTTTTTAAAGATAAATTGAATGTGGTCGTATAACGATACTAAAGTCATGAATACCGTACGCAAGTGTGTGTGAGGTGCCAGACGGCGCTAGTTTCCAGATACCAGTCCGCCAACCCCGTGAAAATCAAGGCTTATCTCCAGGACGATGTTGTAATTCAAGGTGCATGAGATTTTGAATAGTTAAAAGATGACTGAAAGTAATTGCTATAGAGGCGGAATTGTATTAAATTTCCATCCTTAAGCTATAGACTATGAAGTGAAAAGAAAATTTGTATGCTAGTTACTGTTTAAAAAAAAAAATATCTCGCGGACCTATCTTGAAGCTAGTCATTAAGGTCAAATTCTGATCTTCCCACGGGGGGGTCATAGTATTTCATTCATTGTTTTGTTTCTCCTGTGGGAATTCTACGAATTTGTACCATATATTTTTTATGAAAAGGAAAGACGTTATGCCAATTTAACAGGATATATTAATATATTAATTTTTATTTTTATTTTTGTTTTTTTAAGCCAGAGAAAGGGCAGGGCGTTCATTTCTTGGCTGTGACTTTACGCTTGGGACATGTGTTCCAGACGCTATTGTATGCTTATATTGTAGCGCCCCGTGATAAAGATTATATATGTATATAAATATATATAAATAAATAAATATATATAGACGCTCGTGTAATTTTGTTTCGCGAGCGATTTTCGTCTTTGTGTACTGAAGAGTCTTTAAATGTATATTTTTCTTGGCAGTTGTATGTGCAGATTTTTAAGGGAAATGTAAACTTCTCAAGAGTTCCAAGTGTGGATAAATTTTTCCCCGAATTATTTTATTGTTTTAAGGCTCGTCATTACATGTCTTTTAGTCTTACGGTTAGACTTTGAACGGTGCATTATTCGACCTTTACGGTAAACTCGCAGTGAGCTGCTTGATGCTATTTTCAGAAATGTAAAGTTTATCAGGCTCTTGAGAGTATTTCACCAGGGCGTTATGTCTACCTTTGAAAGTCTGCTACACATATCCTGTTGATGGCTGCGAGACATTTCGGCCAGAATTCTGAAATGGCTTGTATGAATCGCCAGAACCTCTTGTTCAGTTTAACTGAATAATATTAGAGATTAGTGTGTATTAGGCAATTTCAGAATTCGAGGCCTAGCGAGTACAAAGTTCCCATGATCTTAACCTTCCCCCTTGTTTATTTTTTTAAGAAATGGTATTTGTTAAGAAAAAGTTTATCGATAGCTATAAATATAAAAACGTAAATAATTTTTTTTTTGGTTATATGCAAAGTTATCTTATGATGGTCGTACCTGAAATTATAAGATAAATATGAAATGTGATCTTTCCTTTTCAGAATGTTATGTGCTTCCTACGCGGAGAAATATTGTAAAACAGATTTTCCAGAAATAAAAAATAATTTTAATTTGAATACATTTGTTTTTGTCCAGACTTACTACCATTATATTTTTAATTTATTATATTATTTGAAAATGGGCGATAATTACATCTTGCTAATAAGCATCTTGTATTCAGATGGTAAGTTACAACTAAATCACTTGTCTAACTGAAGATGGCAGAGTTAATGAGGCTTCTACTTTGAGCCAGATTACAAATGTTGGAAAATATAGAGACTTCAAATGTGTTTACAAGATTACAGATGTACCTGGCAGCTGAAATAATATTAAAATATTAAAGGGTTTAATTCTTGCGTTGTTGATGTACTGACAGTTGAAATTTAAATAATTTATTTAAAGCTATGAAACTGATGTAGCTCAAAGGGAAATTGTTTTATCATTGTTACAGGACAGACATTGTACAGTCTATGGTGTTAAACGTCACTCCCTCTTTCTCCTTTGTTGTCCAAAGGTCTAGGAAAGGAAGAGGGATGGGAGATGAAATTCTGGAAGAGGATTTGGATGTAGAGAGAAGAGGCTTAAAAGTTTGGTGGCCTGTCCACCATGGGTTGGCATGAGGTGTGGGTCGTTTGTTTGGGTATACGGTATGTTGGGTTGCACAGCCCCGCTCCTGTGCCAGGTAAGTCCACTACGGGCTCACCATAGCCCGTGCTACTTTCAGCTACTGGGAACTTTTTGTTCAATCTTAAACAACAAACTGTTGGGTTGTGGTATTGGCTGCCCCTGATCCACCAGCTAGTACAAAGAGCTTAAAGCCTCTTATTTTACACCTTGAGTTAGCAAACCTTTAAACTCGTGCTTAGACCTATTTAGTCATATGACCCTAGTGACCAAACTTTATAATTGATAAATATGCTACCCCTTCCCTGTAGAATTGAAAAAAATAAAATTTTAGCCAGTCTGGGTTTGAATAATGGCATCTGAAGGTGAAATCACATTAGTAAAAAAATTAATTGGACACCTACCGTCATTTAGATAAGTAGATATATTTAACCAACTAAAGTAAGTTTAGTGCTTGCATGCAATACATTAACATCGACTACAAAAAATACAGATGAGCTGGGAAACCATTACAAATATTTCATGCATTTACAAGGAAGCGTTGATTAACAAGGTACGATGGCTTATGTGAGTTCTAGTAGCATGTAGAGTCGCAATATATATATAATGTAAGTTAAATGATGCCTCGCAAGTGACCAGAAGGCAAAATATACACGGAAAAGCACTAGCAGTCGCAGCAGTGAAAGAATGTTCTGCAATAATATTAGGAAAACACAAGTTAACAACTTTCTATCTGTTGTGATCTTAAGCAAATTTGTGAATGGAGGAGTGTAAGGTTTAATTAATCAGACGCCACAACGCTTGGCACATATATAGAATATATATGTGTTCAGCCATAAAAAAAATAATACCAGACACGGTACAAGCCTTACCAAAAAAAAAAAAAAAATTCTGCAAGGGAGCTTGAACCTGGAAGAATAGAACCCACACATGCTTGAAATGCTGATGTAGCTACCATGACTGTCACCAGGTGTTGGTGTAGCCACCATGACTGTCACCAGGTGTTGGGGTAGCCACCATGACTGTCACCAGGTGTTGGTGTAGCCACCATGACTGTCACCAGGTGATGGTGTAGCCACCATGACTGTCACCAGGTGTTGGTGTAGCCACCATGACTGTCACCAGGTGTTGGTGTAGCCACCATGACTGTCACCAGGTGTTGGTGTAGCCACCATGACTGTCACCAGGTGTTGGGGTAGCCACCATGACTGTCACCAGGTGTTGGTGTAGCCACCATGACTGTCACCAGGTGTTGGTGTAGCCACCATGACTGTCACCAGGTGTAGCCACCATGAATGTCACCAGGTGTTGGTGTAGCCACCATGAATGTCACCAGGTGTTGGTGTAGCCACCATGAATGTCACCAGGTGTTGGTGTAGCCACCATGACTGTCACCAGGTGTTGGTGTAGCCACCATGAATGTCACCAGGTGTTGGTGTAGCCACCATGACTGTCACCAGGTGTTGGCCAGGCAAGACACTGGGGAGCGTGTGGGAAGCCAAGGCAAGAGCCGTGCCAACCCCTCCACATAACCATAGACGGAGATAAAGCCAAGCACGAGGGGTGTAAGATCAGCTCTTGTGGGGATGACAGGGGTCGTAGGGGTGGGTGTGGTCGTCCTGGTGACGGGAGTGAGGCGGGGGAGATCGTGGTGAAGGGGGAGATCGTAATGCTAATGGTCGTCGGGGTGACTGAGGCCCGGGGTGACTGAGGTCGTCGGGGTGACTGAGGCCTAGGGTGACTGGGGTCACGGGGTGACGAGGGTCGTCGGAGGGACGGGATTCGTCAGGGTGACGGAGGTCGTCGGGGTGACTGGGGTCGTCGGGGTGACGGGGCTCGTCGGGGTGACGGAGGTCGTCGGGGTGACGGGAGTCGTCGGGGTGACGGAGGTCGTCGGGGTGACGGGGCTCGTCGGGGTGACGGAGGTCGTCGGGGTGACTGGGGTCGTCGAGGTGACGGGGCTCGTCGGGGTGACGGAGGTCGTCGGGGTGACGGGGGTCGTCGGGGTGACGGGGGTCGTCGGGGTGACGGGGGTCGTCGGGGTGACGGGGATCGTCGGGGTGACGGGGGGTGACGGGGGTCGTCGGGGTGACGGGGGTCGTCGGGGTGACGGGGGTCGTCGGGGTGACGGGGATCGTCGGGGTGACTGGGGTCGTCGGGGTGACGGGGGTCGTCGGGGTGACGGGGGTCGTCGGGGTGACGGGGGTGACGGGGGTGACGGGGGTCGTCGGGGTGACGGGGGTCGTCGGGGTGACGGGGATCGTCGGGGTGACTGGGGTCGTCGGGGTGACGGGGCTCGTCGGGGTGACGGGGGTGACGGGGGTCGTCGGGGTGACGGGGGTCGTCGTGAAGACGGGGGTCGTCGGGGTGACTGGGGTCGTCGGGGTGACGGGGGTCGTCGGGGTGACGGGGGTCGTCGGGGTGACGGGGGTCGTCGGGGGTGACAGACGTCGTCGGGGGTGACAGAAGACAAGGACAATATTCAACAATGAAGGCACACTTACAACTTTGTTATCTTTTGTGTCTTAGCAAGTCTGTCTGTGTTCGATGATGAAAACTAGACACAAGGCGCAGGCCTCAAGTTGGGGGTTGGCAACAGTGAAACGAGTACCACTTGACACGGTCTCCATGGGAACCCAAAGACAATATTTGAAATAGCAACACACAGTACATGCAGAGATACAGATTATATATATATATATATATATATATATATATATATATATATATATATATATATATATATATATATATATATATATATAAAGAGAGAGAGAAAGAGAGATGGGGAAGGGGTGGGGGGCAGAGACAGTACTGAGGCTGACCCCAACAGTCAATGACAGACCCAAATGAGACGCCCCATGCACTCCCACAGCTGGTGGCCCAAGATGAGACGCCCCACTCCCACAGCTGGTGGCCCAAGATGAGACGCCCTACTCCCACAGCTGGTGGCCCAAGATGAGACGCCCCACTCCCACAGCTGGTGGCCCAAGATGAGACGCTCCACTCCCACAGCTGGTGGCCCAAGTTGAGACGCCCCACTCCCACAGCTGGTGGCCCAAGATGAGACGCCCCACTCCCACAGCTGGTGGCCCAAGATGAGACGCCTCACTCCCACAGCTGGTGGCCCAAGATGAGTCGCCCCACTCCCACAGCTGGTGGCCCAAGATGAGACGCCCCACTCCCACAGCTGGTGGCCCAAGATGAGACGCCCCACTCCCACAGCTGGTGGCCCAAGATGAGACGCCCCACTCCCACAGCTGGTGGCCCAAGATGAGACGCCCCGCTCCCACAGCTGGTGGCCCAAGATAAGACGCCCCACTCCCACAGCTGGTGGCCCAAGATGAGACGTCCCACTCACACAGCTGGTGGCCCAAGATGAGGCGTCAGGGTGAGGAGGGCCAGGGTGAGGAGGGCCAGGGTGAGGGAGGGCCGATGGCCTGGGTGAGGGAGGGCCGAGGGCCAGGGTGAGGGAGGGCCGAGGGCCAGGGTGAGGGAGGGCCGAGGGCCAGGGTGAGGGAGGGCCGAGGACCAGGGTGAGGGAGGGCCAGGGTGAGGGAGGGCCGAGGACCAGGGTGAGGGAGGGCCGAGGACCAGGGTGAGGGAGGGCCGAGGACCAGGGTGAGGGAGGGCCAGGGTGAGGGAGGGCCGAGGGCCAGGGTGAGGGAGGGCCAGGGTGAGGGAGGGCCGAGGACCAGGGTGAGGGAGGCCCGAGGACCAGGGTGAGGGAGGGCCAGGGTGAGGGAGGGCCGAGGGCCAGGGTGAGGGAGGGCCGAGGACCAGGGTGAGGGAGGGCCGAGGGCCAGGGTGAGGGAGGGCCGAGGGCCAGGGTGAGGGAGGGCCGAGGACCAGGGTGAGGGAGGGCCGAGGGCCAGGGTGAGGGAGGGCCGAGGGCCAGGGTGAGGGAGGGCCAGGGTGAGGGAGGACCAGGGTGAGGGAGGGCCGAGGGCCAGGGTGAGGGAGGGCCAGGGTGAGGGAGGACCAGGGTGAGGGAGGGCCAGGGTGAGGGAGGACCAGGGTGAGGGAGGACCAGGGTGAGGGAGGGCCGAGGGCCAGGGTGAGGGAGGGCCGAGGGCCAGGGTGAGGGAGGGCCAGGGTGAGGGAGGACCAGGGTGAGGGAGGGCCAGGGTGAGGGAGGGCCGAGGGCCAGGGTGAGGGAGGGCCAGGGTGAGGGAGGGCCGAGGGCCAGGGTGAGGGAGGGCCAGGGTGAGGGAGGGCCAGGGTGAGGGAGGACCAGGGTGAGGGAGGGCCAGGGTGAGGGAGGGCGACCAACTGATGTCACCACTATAGTGACTTGGAAGCAGACACGGGCGGCGACCTCGGGCCAGCATCATAGTGTTAGGCACTCACTCACTCTAAGGAGGCAGCGACACGCGCGCGCGCGCGTGTGTGTGTGTGTGTGTGTGTGTGTGTGTGTGTGTGTGTGTGTGTGTGTGTGTGTGTGTGTGTGTGTGTGTGTGTGTGTGTGTGTACTCACCTACTCACCTGTACTCACCTAGTTGTACTCACCTAGTTGTGTTTGCGGGGGTTGAGCTCTGGCTCTTTGGTCCCGCCTCTCAACCGTCAATCAACAGGTGTACAGATTCCTGAGCCTATCGGGCTCTATCATATCTACACTTGAAACTGTGTATGGAGTCAGCCTCCACCACATTACTTCCTAATGCATTCCATTTGTCAACCACTCTGACACTAAAAAAGTTCTTTCTAATATCTCTGTGGCTCATTTGGGCACTCAGTTTCCACCTGTGTCCCCTTGTGCGTGTTCCCCTTGTGTTAAATAGACTGTCTTTATCTACCCTATCAATTCCCTTCAGAATCTTGAATGTGGTGATCATGTCCCCCCTAACTCTTCTGTCTTCCAGCGAAGTGAGGTTTAATTCCCGTAGTCTCTCCTCGTAGCTCATACCTCTCAGCTCGGGTACTAGTCTGGTGGCAAACCTTTGAACCTTTTCCAGTTTAGTCTTATCCTTGACTAGATATGGACTCCATGCTGGGGCTGCATACTCCAGGATTGGCCTGACATATGTGGTATACAAAGTTCTGAATGATTCTTTACACAAGTTTCTGAATGCCGTTCGTATGTTGGCCAGCCTGGCATATGCCGCTGATGTTATCCGCTTGATATGTGCTGCAGGAGACAGGTCTGGCGTGATATCAACCCCCAAGTCTTTTTCCTTCTCTGACTCCTGAAGAATTTCCTCTCCCAGATGATACCTTGTATCTGGCCTCCTGCTCCCTACACCTATCTTCATTACATTACATTTGGTTGGGTTAAACTCTAACAACCATTTGTTCGACCATTCCTTCAGCTTGTCTACGTCTTCTTGAAGCCTCAAACAGTCCTCTTCTGTTTTAATCCTTCTCATAATTTTAGCATCGTCTGCAAACATTGAGAGAAATGAATCGATACCCTCTGGGAGATCATTTACATATATCAGAAACAAGATAGGACCGAGTACAGAGCCCTGTGGGACTCCACTGGTGACTTCACGCCAATCGGAGGTCTCACCCTTCACCGTAACTCTCTGCTTCCTATTGCTTAGATACTCCCTTATCCACTGGAGCACCTTACCAGCTACACCTGCCTGTCTCTCCAGCTTATGTACCAGCCTCTTATGCGGTACAGTGTCAAAGGCTTTCCGACAATCCAAGAAAATGCAGTCCGCCCAGCCCTCTCTTTCTTGCTTAATCTTTGTCACCTGATCGTAGAATTCTATCAAGCCTGTAAGGCAAGATTTACCCTCCCTGAACCCATGTTGGCGATTTGTCACGAAGTCCCTTCTCTCCAGATGTGTTACCAGGTTTTTTCTCACGATCTTCTCCATCACCTTGCATGGTATACAAGTCAAGGACACTGGCCTGTAGTTCAGTGCCTCTTGCCTGTCGCCCTTTTTGTATATTGGGACCACATTCGCCGTCTTCCATATTTCTGGTAGGTCTCCCGTCTCCAGTGACTTACTATACACTATGGAGAGTGGCAAGCAAAGTGCCTCTGCACACTCTTTCAGTATCCATGGTGAGATCCCATCTGGACCAACAGCCTTTCTAACATCCAGATCTAGCAGGTGTCTCTTGACCTCCTCTCTCGTAATTTCGAACTCTTCCAAGGCCGCCTGGTTTACCTCCCTTTCTCCTAGCACAGTGACCTCACCTTGTTCTATTGTGAAGACCTCCTGGAACCTCTTGTTGAGTTCTTCACACACCTCTCTGTCATTTTCTGTATACCTGTCCTCGCCTGTTCGAAGTTTCAATAAGTTGTGTGTTGTGTGTGTGTGTGTGTTGTGTGTGTGTGTGTGTGTGAACTGAAGCAACTCTTCCATGATTGTGATAGCTGCCTCTTTGTTTATATGGTGCTTAAATCTGGAATTTCTGTTATTTTATAGAGGGTTGTTTATCATTGCCGAGGTATTCCTTCCCTGAGAGATGCCTGCTGATCACATCCGAGGTATTCCTTCCCTGCGAGATGCCTGCTGATCACATCCGAGGTATTCCTTCCCTGCGAGATGCCTGCTGATCACATCCGAGGTATTCCTTCCCTGAGAGATGCCTGCTGATCACATCCGAGGTATTCCTTCCCTGCGAGATGCCTGCTGATCACATCCGAGGTATTCCTTCCCTGCGAGATGCCTGCTGATCACATCCGAGGTATTCCTTCCCTGCGAGATGCCTGCTGATCACATCCGAGGTATTCCTTCCCTGCGAGATGCCTGCTGATCACATCCGAGGTATTCCTTCCCTGAGAGATGCCTGCTGATCACATCCGAGGTATTCCTTCCCTGCGAGATGCCTGCTGATCACATCCGAGGTATTCCTTCCCTGCGAGATGCCTGCTGATCACATCCGAGGTATTCCTTCCCTGCGAGATGCCTGCTGATCACATCCGAGGTATTCCTTCCCTGAGAGATGCCTGCTGATCACATCCGAGGTATTCCTTCCCTGCGAGATGCCTGCTGATCACATCCGAGGTATTCCTTCCCTGCGAGATGCCTGCTGATCACATCCGAGGTATTCCTTCCCTGCGAGATGCCTGCTGATCACATCCGAGGTATTCCTTCCCTGCGAGATGCCTGCTGATCACATCCGAGGTATTCCTTCCCTGCGAGATGCCTGCTGATCACATCCGAGGTATTCCTTCCCTGCGAGATGCCTGCTGATCACATCGGAGGTATTCCTTCCCTGCGAGATGCCTGCTGATCACATCCGAGGTATTCCTTCCCTGCGAGATGCCTGCTGATCACATCCGAGGTATTCCTTCCCTGCGAGATGCCTGCTGATCACATCCGAGGTATTCCTTCCCTGCGAGATGCCTGCTGATCACATCCGAGGTATTCCTTCCCTGCGAGATGCCTGCTGATCACATCCGAGGTATTCCTTCCCTGAGAGATGCCTGCTGATCACATCCGAGGTATTCCTTCCCTGCGAGATGCCTGCTGATCACATCCGAGGTATTCCTTCCCTGCGAGATGCCTGCTGATCACATCCGAGGTATTCCTTCCCTGCGAGATGCCTGCTGAT